CTCGAGGAGCAGTATTCTTTAATTTATTTACATACAGGGTGAGATAAAACAGTTAAAAAAGCAGTAAGTTCGGCCGGGCCGAATTTTGAATACCCTCCACCATTTGAATCGAATTAGGAAATTTTCAAAAGAATAAAATCCGTACCGTTATATTCGGGTACCGTTATATGGGGGCTATACGATATCATGGACCTATATATATAATTCTCCTCCCACGGAAAAAGGAATCACAAGGAACTCCATGTGTGGAATTTCGGACAATTCCATTGACAAATGTGGCTATAATCATCAAAATACCGATTATCGGGGGGTACCGTTATATGGAGGCTATACGATATCGTGGACCTGTATAGATAATTCTCCTCCAAGGGATGAAGTACTCACAAGGAACCCCTTGTGTGGAATTTCAGACAATTCCATTGACAAATTTGGCTAAAATCATCAATATACCGAATATCGAGAGGTACCGTTATATGGAGGTTGTACGATACGATGCCTGCAGACAAAAGACGGACTTAGCCCTGTCGTCTTAGCTTACGCTGAGAAAGAATATATACACTTTGTTAGGAATAAAATATTACTTCGATGAGTTACAAACGGAATGACGAACTTAATATACCCTCCATACTATGTATGGTTGAGGGTATTAAAACTGCAACAAAGTCAAACGCCATAATTTTTAAATTTTGTTTTAAATTTCATTGAATGAAAGCAAAAATGGAAATAGCATCAAATTTTAGAATAAGTTTAGATTTGCTAGAAGCAGTCCCCTTTGGAACGCATTGTAGCCCCATGGCCAAACGCCCGATGAAAACATCACACGCTGCCCGAATGTTGCTCTACCTTATTTTGTGCACAATAGTCCAACGCTGGAAATGAAGCGAGGAACCTCATTTTGTAACCATTCTTGGGTGGCGCGTGCTGAGTGCGATGGTGCTGAGTCCTGTTGGAATGTTCAAAGTCAGCGGCCAAAATGTTTGCTTGCCCAAGGCTTTAATACACCCTCCAGAATACTTTCACGATAATATTCGACATTTATTCTGATGCCACGGTCAATTAATACGAGCGGAGAGCGCCCATCGGCTGTTATGGCGGCCCACGCTATCACTATGGCCGGCGCTTGTGTTCTGGTGGCCAACGGAAGGTGCACATTTTCAGCTGACCTCTTTGGCAAGTAAACACGATCATTTTGTTTTTTTACAAACAGCTGGACAAGGAATGTTTTCTCATCGGAGAAAACCAAATTCAGCAGTTCACCGCTTTCGGCCAAGCGAAGCAACTCTTTAGCTCGTTTGAGTCTATTTTCTTTCCGATGCGGTGTAAGTAAATTTATTCACATTTAAATGCTGGAGTGCTCTAACTATAGCCACTTCGAATTTGTACAAGAGTGAAACTCAATCGAATTAGAGGGACTGCGCTCCTGGGATCAGAAAAAATCGAGCAAACTCCATGTTCCGCATGGGCCGTAAATCTGCAGTCTTTTTTTCCCAGCGGACAAAACGTGTAAATGGTATCAATAGATAATTGTATACGCTGGACAACTCTTAGTATAGTCCCACACACACAGGTCCACGTTTTCGTATGGCCCCCAATCATATGACTACAGAGGGTATATATCATTTGGTTTGGTGAAAATGTATCGCATCGAAATAAGAGATTTAGGCCCTTGTTCTCTTTTTATTAGGAGTTGATCTAGCTGTAAACGTCTATCTGTCTATCTGGCAGGTGCCCACAATAATTCTCGAAGGGAATATCCGATTAGGTAACTTGGATCGAATTCGGGGATTGGTAATACCGTTCAACTCCCTCCCGTACCTCACCCACAAAAGGCCAACATTTATTTTGACAGGTGGCCACAATAATTCTCGAAGGAAGTATCCGAAATGAGAGATTTAGTCTTTTGGTCTCTTTTTATTTTTAGTCGATCTAGCTGTAAACGCCTGTCAGTCAGATTACAAAACTTATATCGAATTCTGGGGTAGGTAATGCCGGTCAAATACTTCGGGTACCTCCCACACCAAAGGGAAAAGTTATCCGATTTTGCCTAAACTTGGCAAATGAAAATCCCTCTTGTGACTCGGGAGATGCGAAACTGAACAATATCGCCTACTTCTTCTCGTACCTTTCTCTTGATTCTCCTTGACACATCCCAATATTTCTACCACCACAAGGTATAGTGCGAAAATTTGGCTTATCGATCCACTCCTTCTGGTACCTTCCCCGCGAAGGGTCAACTTTTTAAATAGTTATAGCTGTCATAACATCGAACCACGTTCGTGATTTTCTTCAAACTTAGTATATCTCAATATTTTTACCAATGTTACGAAAAGTGCGAGTATGCAGTTTATCGGTAAACTTCTTACTCGTACCCCACCATCACAATGGGTAAAAATGTTGACTCTAAGGATTATTGAAAATCTTCAAGTTTATAAATATTAAACCACGACAGTTAGAACTGCTAAAAATCCAAGACTCAACAATAAAAAAATAAAAACAAGTAAGAAAGGGCTATAGTCGTGCTGGGCCGACCATGTGGTACCCTACAACACTACAATATGTTAGAAGCCCCTTTTTGTCCAAATCCATTTTGCTTTTGAAATTATGTCACCGAGCACTGTCCAGATATTATCCTTAATATTTTGCCCAGAGAAATGTGCCCAATATTTACGCACTCCGTCGTGCTGTTAGTTGTTGTGGTCGATTTTACAGATAATATAATTCAATGATTATCCAAAATGCTAGAATTCTTCGCTGTCCTTAACTCTCTTCTCAGGCTATTCTATTTTTGGTTCATTTTAACCCCTAAATATTTTGCGAGCATCCATTTGCGTATTTTAAATTTCGTCTGTAAGTTATATTCGGTAAATGGAAATGTTGATATTTTTCACACAAAAGTAGTGGTTCATTCTAGTCGTTGTCCTAAACTCTAACTTCATGCGAGTTCGGCTGCAAAATCAGGAACATTTTTTGTTGTTGGTTCATTTCAACCCCTAAATATATTGCGGACATCTTTGAGCCTAACCCTACCGTTGTGAAAATGTTCGTGGGGATCGGACGACAATTGCAATCTGTATATAATAACCCCAACCTGTGTTGCAAGTTGAAAAAATATTACAAAATGTACACTTCAGTATTATAAGTCAAATTAAAAAAATCGCATGCGATAAAAAATGTGAGAAAATAAAAAAAAAATCACAAAATACTACAAAATCTATAATAACATCATTTTTGATATATTTTTAATCGATTTTTTTAGATTTTATTCTTTTATGCCAAGAGGGCATTCTGAATTGACAAAATTTGTCAAAATCAGTTAGAATTGACCTGTTCGTCTTTTTTTGATTTCGCCGGCATTAAAAATATTAGCGTTTTAATGGCGGATTTTACTTTTATTTAACACAATGTTATGGTCTATTTCACCCACTAAATATTAGCCGATGACCATCAAAATTGGAAGACTTCTGCCCAGCCCTGAGCTCTAGGCCCATGCTAACTTCCGTTTTGATTGGTAATGATAATTGCGACCTGTAGAGTAACTGCAATATCAGGAAATTTTTCAGTTTTTTGGTTCATTTCAACCCCTAAATATTATACGATCATCTCCAAAAGCCCCACCTCTATTCTAAATTTGATATAATTGCGACCTGTAGGGTGATTACAAATTAACATGTCTGTTCATGAAAGGACAGACATACATTGCTAGATCGACTCAGTTTGGCGAGATACGAAGAATCATATATACTTTCCAATATTTCGAGGTGTTACATAATTTTTGGCCCAATCAAACTTATAATACCCCCAAAACATAGTGTTGTAGGGTATAAAAAAAATTAACGGTAACCTTCAAATATTATCTAAAAATATCTGACTTCCAGTAGTCCTTAAAATCTTAAAAATTTACATATGCAAGGAGTTTAAGTTATTCCTAAAATTCGACTCCAAATCGTCTTTAAAACTCCATTTTTTAAGGATTGCAAGTTACTGTTAAAATACCTTATAAGCTCGCCCTAAAAAGTAAACAAGTCACCCCTACAAAAAATGACATAGGTGTTTCAAAGTCAGCCTTAAAAACTCTTAAAAATGTATGACTGTAGCCTCCTTAAATTCTACAAAAAATATTTTTTTGTAAGCTCTCCAATTTATCCCTAAAAAGTCTTGAAGTTCAATTTACCAACTCGCTTATAAAAATAAAATGTTTAAAAGTCCCCGACTGAAAACAAAAAAATATTTAAAGTCCCTGATTGAAACTACTTTTAGTATAAAAATGCACGAATAATCAACAAATATAATCCTCGATTGAAAATATTCTTAAAAAACAAAATTATAGAACTGGTATATTTCACGAAAAGTTTTGATTTTTTATTCCTTTTTTGAGCCATGGCCATAGTACCTTGAAGTAGATCCAATGCTTGTTGGCCCTTTAAGTCCTTTCTAAATAAATAATAAAAAAATTTAAATATCTTTAACATTTTAAAAACACCACCAGCGAAAAAGACCAACGTCATGTCTCAAAAGAAAATTGTCATGTTTTCTATGAGTGTTCTGTAGTACTCATTATAAGAATATCATACATTTGTAGACCCATTATGTATTTTAGGTTATGAAGTAGACCATGTTAATTACTATGCCCAAGGCTACATCAATTGTTCTCACACACACTCAGCCAGCAAGCTAGGCAGCAAGAGAAAATAGAAATAAACGAAGCAAGAAAAAAACACAACTGATCTCAAAAGAAAGTGTAACCAAAGAATATTTCTTGTCCTTTTTTGTTGGATTATGGGTGTACCTAAGTGAGGGAGTGTGTGGGGGGGGGGGGGGATGATGTGTAATAAGTACACACCCACACATACTCGCATATGTGCATTATAAAATATTCATGCGGATGCTAGAGTCATTCTTTCTCCATGGCTTTTAATACTCACTCTTTATGTTTATGCATTTCCTTTCATTTGATTCCTTTTCTTCTCATTCTCTTCTTGTTTTTTTCCTTTATTTTGCAGATTCACCCCGCTGTAAACCAGGCACTGAACAAACATCCATTGGCGCCATAAATATGCACTCAATACCGGTCAAATGTGAAGTAGATGCTGATCCACCAGATTCGGTGAAATTTAGTTGGACCTACAACAATACCAGAAATGTGTCACCCGTAAGTATACAAAAAGCAACCTTTTTATCTGTACTCGTATGAGTGTACCAACATGGTACACATCAATTATATTTCTTACATGAGAATTTTTTTTTTTTGAAATTTCATCTAATTGACCTCTTCAATTCTGCAATGTGTAAGCAACTTCGTTGAACTTATTCTTCGTACGAAGAAATAGTGCATGACCCCTAAGTTCGACCATATGACCATTTACCATAAATTTCAACCCGAAGGCCTTCAACATATTAAAAATTGAGGAGAATACGAACCAAAAAATATGTTTAACTCCTTTGCTCTTTGCATTTTGGCTTCTTCGAGGAGATGTTGTTGTAGGAGCTGATGTTGAATGTAGTTGGCATCCTTTATGGGATTTACGCTGCACGTACAAAAGGAGGGGACAATTGCAAATCTATAAGCAATCAAAGAGCCTGTGCAAACATTCAATGACACTCACTCATACACACACACACACACACACACAGCCATTCGTACATACCGGGTAAAACCCCTAGAGTAATGCGACAAAGAGCACACACACACACACACACACACAAAGTAGTACCACAAAGAAAAGTCAAAAGATGCTGCAGTTGGGAAAACTCAAAAGGAAAACAAACATTTTATTCTCTTTCTGACAGTGGACAAACAGGAGAAGAGAAGGCCAACTGTCCGGCTGACAGGCAGAAGACTGACTACTTCAGTTGAAAGTTTCTTCAGTAACAATTATTGAGTTTTATAAATATTTAATGAAAACATTGATGACGATGATGATTTTTTGAAAAAAGCTAGGGGTTTCCAAATAACACTGACCAATGACTGAGGAGGTTCACTTGTAATTTGGCCCTGTGAAGTAGGTACTTTAAGGGATAAAGTAAAAAAACATTATAGGGAATTATGTGGGTGGACAGTTACTTTGAAATTTGTATGTGGATATTACATTTCAAATGTGCATTCACATGTGTCTGTGTGTGTGCGTATTCATGTTCGATTTTGATTCCATGAACTCATGTTATTATTACCTTTGAAGTTTAGGTAAATAGCTCAGTTTTGGAAATTGAAGTATATGAGATGGATTCCAAGTTTTCAAATTAAAATGCAATATTGGCTTGTGAAAATTGCCAGTGGGTGTATTTGGGATGCAGAGATTTGTGTCACAATATTTATTGTGATAGTGTAAGAGATATACTGTCAATAAATAAAGGTTGATTTTTTATACCCCACACCAAACAGTGGTAAGGGTATTATGTCTTTGTGCTTTTTATTTGTACCATGGACAACGAAGCGAGGTAGACCCATATTTACCTTTGAGGATCTTCATATAATAACTCTCTGAGTCGATTCATACATGTCAGCCCGTCCGTCCTTTTTGTGAGCAAAATGCAGGCAGATGACATTTTCCAAACAATATTTGTTGAAATTGGTGACAATCGGTTCAAATTTAGATATAGCTCCCAAATATATCTTCAACCGATTTCGGGTTAATTGTACACCAAATGGCTAATATTAGCCCAAATGGACTGCATTTTAGCAAATCCGACTTAACTTATCTTAGAAACAAATTCGGCGAAAATCGGTTCAGATATTGCTATCGCTCCCATATATATGTTTCATCCGAATTGCGGTCTTAAGTAACTCACTCCATATGCACTCCTCAGAAATAATCTTTATTTTCAGAAACAGCTCGGAAATTACTGTATAAAATTTTATCAAGATCGGTGCATATTTGGATATAGCTCCCATATGTATATTTAACCGATTTCAGGTTTTTTTGTGCTGCATATGCCTAATATCAGACCAAATGGCTAGATTAAAAGCAAGGCTAGATTAAAAGCAAGTGCGTCAACTTTTGGCGAAAATCGGTTCAGATAAAGCTATAGTTCCCATATACAGGGTGAGATAAAAGACTGCAACAAAGTCAAACGCCATAATTTTTACATTTTTATACCCTATACCTTGGAAAGGAGGGTATATTAACTTTGTCATTCCATTTATATCTTCTCTAAATATTCGTCGTAGACCCAATAAAGTATAAATACATAATCAGCATAAAATTCTGAGTCGATTTAACGATGTCCGTCTGTTGAAATCACGATACAGCCCACATACAGACGTAGAGCGTAAAAATTGTATAGTCCCCATATAACGGTACTTCCCGATATTCGGTATTTTGATTATTTTTGCCACATTTTTTACGAATTTTTCTGAAAACTTTTATTTGTAAGTCATAATGGGTTCTGGCTACGGTGACGAAACATTGTATAGCCCCATATAGCGGAACCTCCCGATATTCGATATTTTGATGATTTTTGCCACATTTCCTAAATATATGTCTAAGAATTGGTATTTGTGGGTCATAATGGGTTCTACTGTTTCCTTTACCCTAAGATGGAGGGTATAAAAAGTTCGACCCGGCCGAACTCAATGTTTTTTACTTGTTTTTTTTTTTTTATTTTTATTGAATGAAAGCAAAAAATGTCGAAAAAAGCATCAATTTCAGAATAAGTTTAGACTTTTTCGAGTTGGTCACCTTTGGTACAAACTATGACCTTCAAACGACCAATGAAACCGTCACACGATGCCGGAATGTTGCTGTTATTTTTGTCCATTCCCTGCGAAGCGCTTGCTTAAGGTCATCGGAACTTTAGAATTTTTTGGTGCCAACCTTGTTTTCCAAAGTACTCCAGACACAATGGTCCAACGGATTGTTATCCGGAGATTTTTGTGCCCATTGTGCGCTGGAAATGAAGCGAGGAACCTCATTTAGTAACCATTCTTGGGTGGCGCGTGCTGAGTGCGATGGTGCTGAGTCCTGTTGGAGTGCCCAAGATCTGCGGCCAAAATGTTTGAGTGCCCAAGGCTTTAATTTCGCGATAATATTCGGCATTTATTCTGATGCCACGGTCGATTAATACGAGCGGGGAGCGACCATCGCCCACACCATCACCATGGCCGACGCTTGAGTTCTGGTGGCCAATCGAAGGTGCATATTTTCAGCTGACCTCTTTGGCAAGTAAAAACGATAATTTTGTTGGTTTACAAACTGCTGGACAACGAATGTTTTCTCATCGAAGAAACCCAAATTCGGCAGTTCCCCACTTTCGGCCAAGCGAAGAAACTCTTTAGCTGTTTTGAGTCTATTTTTTTCTGTTGCGGTGTAAGTTCTTGCACGTTTCGGAATTTCAATGGCTTTACCCCGAGCTCATTCTTCAATGTTTGCCGAATGGAATATTGCGATATGTTCAGCTCACAAGCCATTTTTCGGCCACTGCGACGTGGGTTTCGATCAAGACGTTTCTGCACTTTTCAAACCATTTCTGCTGATGTTGCTCTTTTCTGCCGTCCACTTCCTTGACGTCGGGCTACGCTACCAGTATTACAATAACGAGCGATGGTACGAGACAGAAAAGATTTATTCACATTTAAATGCTGGAGAGCTCTATCTATAGCCACTTGTTGTTTTCCTGCCAAATATAAAGAAATCACACTACCACCAGGGTTCTTCATAAAACCCAGGCTTAAAACCTTGTGGTTTATAGTTAAGCACACTACACACGGAGTGTAGTTCTGCGAACATAAAGGGTTCTTAAAAGTCTGACATGTGCATTAGCAATTTTTGATAATTATTATTTTTTGCTGAGGGGTATTTCGAAGAAAATCATCCGACTGAACACTATCAATCAGAGTTTTTTCTTACACCATAATCCGAAAATCTGCCATAAATTCCAAAATATTTCCCACAAATTTCCAATTCCCTGTTTAATTACCAATTTCAATTCACTGTATCCACAAACATATCTAACACCACTTTCTGTCAAAATTCTTAGTATTTTTCTTTTTTTGTGGCCATTTGAAATAACCTCTTGACTACAAATACTACCACACATATCCTTTTGACTACTGTTGCTGGCACTGTATAGCAATGAATAAAGAAGAAAAAACAACACAGTCTGCTTACACAAAAGTTTTGCAACAATACCAAAAGGAACAAAAACAAAAACACATACACAAACAAACAAGTATTCAGGCAGGCAGACAGACAGACAAAGAGTCATTCATTCATTCCTTCGTTCATTCACTGGTCACAGGAGACATGCAGGCAGACAAACGGACGGATAGACAGTTGTACATGCATACAAATATACGTGACTTGGCTTGAGACCTAATCGAATTTTATAAATTATTTATAATCTATTGAAAATGGTCTCTTCTCTTTTACCAAAAAGTATGATCAATGGTGTGTATGTGTGTGTGTGTGTATGTGTTGGTGAGTCCTTTGGAAGCCATTCATGGGGTCATATTGGCTCACAAAAAGGACTTGCACTTGTCTTTTGGCTTTCAACCAATTTCCATTACTACAGCACGAGCTGGAGAGAATGAAATGAAAGCACACGGGTATAGCTATTTTCAATGCACTTGAGTTCAATTCTCAATGAATTATAATGACGATTGGTTTTATTTGTCGAAGTGTGTGTGTAACCATGTGCACATACATATGCACATATTTGTGTTGTCAGTCATTCATACTTAGTTTTCAATAAATACAAGAGTAAAACTATAATTTAACTGACACATACAGATGATGACAATTTTTAGTTGCATCACAGGTGTATGTGATTGCCTGGTTATGAATGGTGTCTACACATACATACATATGTATGTACCTTTGCTCAATGGGTGTTTTTCTTCTCCTTTTTTCGCAGCATGTCTGAAAAGTTTCACACATATACACATGTGTTTGTTTGTGACAGAATTGGTAATTTATTGTTAATGTCTGATAAATTTCTATGTACGCTCAAATATATATATATATATATATATATATATATATATATATATATATATATATATATATATATATATATATATATATATATATATATATATATATATATATATATATATATATACATATACATATATATATATATATATATATATTATGGCAACCATATCAAGTACATTCCTACCTACCGAACAGCACCACTTGAAGAGCAAATATTTCTCCATCAATATTTACTGAAGTGATTCATTTCGTTTATGTGCCACTGCAATTCTATTATGGATGGTTAGTAAAGTTTGTACAAATGTGGGTTAATGGGTACATTGCAAATGTTCACATGTTGGTGATGATGGTGTGTGTGTGTGTGTGTGTTCAGCGGAGAATTGGGTAGGGGGCTGAATGATACTTGAAGAAAATTATTTTTCATATCAATATCTAATTAAAGAAATCCTTTTAAATGAATCTTCACCCTTTGTGTGTTAGACGAAATTAAGGTTAAGGATAGTTGTGAACTGACGCTGAATGGGTGAGGTTAAAATTACTTTAAATGTTAACGAAAGGGCAATTACCTAGCAAATTTTTAAGAGAGGATGGACTGGTAGGATGAGAAATGTATTAGTCTTTAAAAAAATACAAAGCACAAGAACTTATGTTTTCATTACCAAATAATGTGTAGCTTTGGCAAAGAGTTTGAAAATGATTTTAGCATTAAAGAAAGGGCAATTACTGGGTAAAAATTTGGAAACCCTACGGGACCAATGACCCATTAAACCGGTAATTTAAACGAACTATCTTCTGCATTACCAGTCGAATAAAAATAATGGATTATTCCTTAAAGCATCACAAAGAAAAATAATTTATTTTCATATTACCACGTAATGAGTTACATCGAGGGAAAGTGCACGCGTCCAACCAAAAAACCAGAAGTTGTGAGTTCGGCGTCGACAAACGAAGAAAAAACATAAACAAGTATAAAAAACATTAAGTTCGGCCGGGTCAATCTTTTAATACCCTCCACCTTAGGGTAAATGAAACATTAGAAGAAACGTGGCAAAAACCATTAAAATGTCGAATATCGGGAGGTAGCATTATATGGCGGCTATACCAAAACGCGGTCCTATAATTATAATGACTCGCCACACGAACTGGGACCCATTATGACCTACAAATACCAATTTTTAGACAAATCAGTGAAAAAATGTGGCAAAACCAATAAAAATACTTAATATCGTGAAGTACCGTTATATGGGGGCTATACCAAATCGTGGACCCATACATGCAATGTTTCGCCACCGGAGCTGGAACCCATTATGACCTACAAATACCAATTTTTAGACAAATCCGTGAAAAAATGTGGCAAACATAATCAAAATACCGAATATCGGGAGGTAGCTTTATATGGGGGCTATATCAAAACGTGGACTTATACATGCAATGTTTTGCCATACGCACAGGGACCCATTATGACCTACAAATACCAATTTTCAGACAAATCCGTGAAAAAATGTGGCAATAACCATCAAAATACCGAATATCGGGAGGTACAGTTATATGGGGACTATACCAGAACGTGGACCGATATATCTCAGTTTCAATACCAACCATCCTAGACACAATACGAATTGCTCTGCTAAATTTTGGCGCTCTACGTCCAATAATGTGGGCTGTATCGTGATTTCAACAGACAGACAGACGGACATCGTTAAATCGACTTAGAATTTTATGCTGATTATGAATATATATACTTTATGGGGTCTACGACGAATATTTAAAGATGTTACAAACGGAATGACAAAGTTAATATACCCTCCTTTCCAAGGTGGAGGGTATAAAAGGCTAAAAAAAGAAGGCACGGCGTTTTGAAAGTTCCCATAGATTATTTAAATATATTTTAACTTATGTTAAGATTATTCACATTGTTGACCCTGAATGGAGTAGGTTCCGAAGGAATGGGCCAATATTGCCAATTTTCTATAAGACATGAATAAAAATGATATACAGGCTGAGATAAAAAAAATGCAACAAAGTCAAACGTCATAATTTTTATTTTTTTTTTTTAATTTTATTGAATGAAAGCAAACAGTCGAAAATGGCAACAAAATTTAGAATATGTTTCGATTTGTTCGATTTGGTCACCTTTGGCACGAATTATGTATTTCAAACGGCCAATGAAACCGTAACACGCTGCCCGAAAGTTGATCTACGATATTTTGGCCCATTCCGGGCGAAGCGCTTGCTTGAGGTGATCGACACTTTGGTACTTCTTAATGCCAACCTTGCTTTCCAAAATATTCTAGACACAGTCCAATTGATTGGTATCTGGGTGGCCATTCATATTATTTTCTCGATAATATGTGGCATTTATTCTGATGCCACGGTCGAATAATACGAGCGGAGAGCGACGGCTGTTATGGCAGCCCACAGCATCACCAATGCCGGCGCTTGAGTTCTGGTGGCCAACCGAAGGTCCACATTTTTAGCTGACCTCTTTGGCATGTAAACACGATCATGTTGTTTGCTCAGAAACTGCTGAACAACGAATGTTTTCTCGTCGGAGAAACCCGAATTCGGCAGTTCACCACTTTCGGTCAAGCGTTGCGATGTAAGTTCTTGCACTTTTTGCAATTTCAATGGCTTTACCCCGAGCTCATTTTTCAATATTTGCCGAATGGAATATTGCGACATGTTCAGCTCACAAGCCATTTTTCGGCCACTGTGACGCGGGTTTCGAGCAAGTCGCTTTTTTACTTTTCGAATTATTTCTGCTGATGTAGCTGTTGCTGCACTACCAGTATCACGGTAACGAGCGATGGTACGAGACACAAAAGATTTATTCACATTTAAATGCTGAAGTGCTCTAACGATAGCCACTTGGTGTTTTCCAGTCAAATGTAAAGAAATCACAGCATCACGCTTGAATTCCATCACGAATAACTTTTTTTCTGGAAAATTCCCACCAAAATGCTGTTCTTCGCTTGTAAACAACTACTGGAATAATTTTAACAGCTGTCGGACGAGTGAGTAGATTAGAAATGACAGCAGTTTGAAGTTCGATGCAGTTTTTTCATCTCACCCTGTAGAATTGTGGTTGTTCGAAGTTATTTTGTCATTCCTAATGAATCAACTAATTCAAGAGGTTTTTACGTCTGAAATTATTATTATTTTTATTTGAAATAAACCCCATAAATTAACATGAAATACCAGGGGTTCCTAATGAACCCAGCTGGTTTATAATGAGCAATGGCAGCTCACAATGAACTCTGCAGTTCATATACTTCCCAAGACGTTCCTACTGAATAGTTTCCTATAACATATATGTCTTCGTTTGAAAATAAATTGTTGACATTTTTATCATTTTGATTTTAATTAAAATTTAACGGTTCGCATGAAATCCTGGTCTGTGGTGGGATTCTCTAACGAATTTTTTGAGTTACCGACAAATATCGGTAAAATATAAACGCAGAATTGTGAATGAAAAGTCAAAATTAAAACTGGCAACACTGTTGCTATCGGTAGGACTTAACGACTACTTCATTTTGGTCGGTAACTTGATGAAAATTGTCTCTAATTACCGAAATTATAAGCATTTTAATTTCACCGATTTTTGTCGGTAACTCAAAAAATTAGTTAGAGAATTGCACTACTGGTTCCTAATGAACCTTATTAATTTATAAGTGCCCATTATCTTCTTTTGTGATCTAATGAATAAGTTGTTTCGTGTAATATACTATATAGATTTGCATGGAATCCTTGGCGTTCCAAACGAGTTCTGGCTCACAGTGAAGTCTGGGGTTCATATAACTCTTAAGAAATTCGTTCCCATTGAATAATATAGTTTTTTTTATTTTTTCGTTTTAGGTCTTGAATTCGAGAATACAATCGAATGGTCTGGTGAGCACGGTAACGTACCTGCCTCAAACCGATTCCGAACTAATAACATTGGCATGTTGGGCGAGTAATGCAGTCGGTCGTCAGACAACGCCGTGTCTGGTGCATATTTTGCCAGCAAGTAAGTATTATATGGAAAAGAGAGGATTGCAAAATAATTTTGATGCCTGCAAATGACGTACCTTAGGAATGTGGACCTATTTTTGCCTGTTACACATAAAAATATGACTTAACTTTTTAAAAATTAGACTAAAACTACAAAAAAAAAAAATAGACATGCTACATTTTAAGGTCTAAACAAAATGAGGATCTATCTATTTTGACATTATTTGGCTTGGATTTGACATTCGATTATATTTCGTACCTTTTTTTCCTCCCCCCAGATCCCCCGGAAACGCCCAGATCATGTGAGCTACGCAATGACACCGTCTTGGAAGTGGTTTGCGTTGCTGGCAGTGACGGTGGCCTCTCACAATATTTTGTCCTGGAAGTTGTGGGCGGTGACCCCATGTACGGAGTAAATGATGCAACGCGCAGCTTTAATGATGCAAATCCGGGAGAAAATGAAATATCCACAATGAATGACCAGGTAAGACAAAAAATAGAATATTTCTTGGAAATCAAATTCAATATGCAAACAAAATATCTAGCATCTAAAAATACTAACAAAAATCCCCCTACCCCACTTCCCTATCTTGGCGGCAAGAAAAATTAACTTTCATTTCAAAAGTTTTATTTTTGAATTATTCAAAATCTTCAACATGTTGACCTTAGGCGAAGAGCAACAAGGAACAACAATAACAACATACTTCATTGTTCATTCGGTTTTAATATTTATGGGATTTTATTTGTGTATGGCGTTTTTGTTTTTCTCGGCCTTTTTGTGTGGAAATGCGAATTTAGGGTGGGAGACGACGCGTGGACAAGTAGCGGATTGAGGTGGGAGGGGTCTTATGGCAAGAAAGTTGTTTGTATTTACAAAAGTTCACCATGTGGCCGGCTAGCTAGCTTCCCCCATCAACATACAAAATGATCAAATTAATAACAAATGTAAAGTAATTCATGCTAAAAGTCCTTTGGCCACTTCAACCAACCAACCAACCAGCTAGGCAGCCAGCAGAGCGTAAAGGGGCACCGAATTTATTTGTTGGCATTTTATTTTGGCAAAATTTCGATTTTGGGGCCAAATATGAATGGCCATCATTTGTGATGTGAAATATTTTAGCATATTAACTAATTTCTTTACGCATCAACTATCGCATCGAAAAACACACATAGCTAAAGCCTCCCTTCGCTCGTCAGCAGCATGGCATTCTGGCATGCTTTGGGATTTTGTTACTCGCCGGAGAACTTACTTTTGTGCTGCCATTTATTTAAAATTGTTGCCTTTTTAACTTAAGTTTTGGCATTTCATATTCTAATGTTTTACTCTTTTCAATGAGTTTGTGTGAGAGCTTTCGGGCTTTCTTGGAGAAGGGTCGAACATTTAAATGACCATGCATGGTTAAGAGATAACAGCAAACATGTCCCGGGGATATCATTGAAACATTTGGTGCCGAAATAGTAAATTTCATTAAGATTGCCTATAAATTATAAGCAAGCAGTTGCTTAGCAATCATCGAATTGCAAAAAATGAAAAACTTTGCATATTTGCCCAAAAGGATGTTCGGTCATCTATTAAATGATTGCAGGATATTTTCTTTATGTCCCAACTATTCAAGTGTATCATCAACTTCTTTTGCCATGGTAATCATTAGAATTTATATATTTAAATGTGTGTGTGGGTGTGTGGGAATGGATGTGTTGTTTTAGTAACAAAATATACTCTACAACAACATCACCATCAGTGATGGTCTTTAGGATGACTTTTTTAAGGTTACCAAGATATGAAAAGGGTTAGAGGGAGAAGTTCATATTTGACTTTATTTATTTTTCCCTCAAGCGAGCCTTGGTTCTTTTTATACCCTCAGCCATATGGCTATAGAGGTTGTACATCATTTGATACGTCGAAAACGTCTTAGACCTGGGTATCTTTGGATTAAATCCTTTCAGAACATTTGGAGTCGATCTAGGGGAAACTGTCCGTCCGTCTTTTTTCTGGCTGGTGCACACTATAACTCTCAAAGGGAGTACCCGATTTGGTCCAAACATAGTACATAGTAATATTATTATCAAACTTAGTTTGGAGATGACCAATATTGGTCCACTCCTTCCGACATCTCCCCAGAAAAGGTCATTTTTTCATAGAAAACACATGAGGTAACTCATAAAAAGAGAAAATATCATCCAATTTTGTGCAAAATTTGCAAATACCATACCAGTGCTATGTCAGGTGGGAAAATGGACAATATCGGTCTAATCCATCATGTACAGGGTTGTCCATATTCGACGGATCCATGTTTTTTTTTTTTTAAATCAAAGAAAAAAAAAATAAAATTTTGGCGGTTGGCAATGCTAATCATTTAATTTGTTCCAAGTAGATTTGTTTACATCAATTTTTGAATATGATATCTCTCAAATGGCCGCCTCTGGCATTGATGACGTATTGTGCCCTTTTTGCTGCATTTTGCATCGTTTTTGCCAACATTTCGGCCGGAATAGCGGCTATTTCTTCACGAATGTTGTCCTTGAGCTCCTCTACGGTCCTTGGCTTGTTAACGTAAACCTTTGACTTCAAATATCCCCACAAGAAGAAGTCAGGCGGCGTCAAATCGGGCGAACGCGGTGGCCAGTCCAAATCACCACTTTTCGACATCAAATCGCTTTCGACGAATCGCGATAACGCTCCTGATGGATGGTAATAGCATGGCCATTTTCATTTTGGAAGAAACACGGCCCAATGACGGTTTTCGCACTAACGCCGCACCAAACTGTGACTTTTTCGTCATAAAGAGGCACTTCTTGAAACTCCTGAGGATTTTCAGTGGCGTAAAAACGGCAATTTTGCTTATTTACGGTCCCATTCAATGTGAAGTGGGCTTCATCGGACATGATAATTTTGTTCCAAAATTGCTCGTCATCTTCGGCCATTTCGATGACCTTTTGGGCCCATTCCCATTGATGAGGCTTGTCCGCAGGCAACATTCTTTGCGTCAATTGAATTTTGTACGGGCACAAATGCAAATCAATGGGAATAATCCGTTATAAAGTGGACCGAGCCATGCCCAACTGCTGAGAACGGCGTTTTTGGGATATTCTTGGGGACCTCTTAACACTGGCTCGTAGGGCAGCGATATTCTCGGCGAATCGCCTTGTTCGACTTTTATATGGCCTCTTCGGATTAGAAAGAGCCTTACAAGTCGAAAATTTTTCGTATAAACGATTAATGGTGTTCTTAGAAGGCGCATTCCTCACATTTTTTAATGTTTTAAAAGCACGTTGAGTTTTCAAAATGGACTTCTTGTAAATTTCAACTATTTCAGAGCACTCGCGCGGAGTGTATTGGTTCATGGTAAAAATCTGCTTGGACTGACGCTTCAAACGCGGTATGTCATTAAGCGATGTGACATCTCTGTCAAAAGTTATGGCGTTGCCAGATAGGTCCGTCGAATATGGGCAACCCTGTAATTTTATCTCTCATAAAATAAACATCTGATTCATTCTAAACTGCATATTTATAATATAACAAGATATGCTGTGAAGATGGTAGATATCGGTCCAGTCTTTTTGGTATCTGTCCTACAAAGGAGTCAAAATTTTGAACAACAAAACGTTCATAATAAGCATTCAATTCCCTTTAAATTTCACACATACCAATATTTTTACCCCGGCTCGGCTCACCCCTTCTGGTACGTCTCACTCCAAGGGGTCAACATTTAATAACAAAACCCTAATAAAATACGAAATAAGATTCGGATTTTTTTTCTATATTTGACATATTTCAACAGTTCTACTGACACATGACTTGGTGTAGTGTTGATAGATATCGGCGCCCCTTCTAATACCTCCCCCATAAAGAGTCAGCGATTCTTTACAAACTAGGTATATGAAAATATTTCTCTCATCCAGAGATCTGTTGTGAATATAGAATCTGTAGGACCACTTCTTGTGGTACCCTCCCTCAAAAAAAGTTCAACATTTTAACTATCATTTACTCGCATATAATTGGAAATAAATGTTAGATTTTTGTTAGCACATATAATTTGTCAGTATTAGATGACGTGGAATTTTTGGGTCCGCTATAGGGACCGGGACAGGCACATAGGTTGAGATAACAAAAACTGAAAAACAAAGTCAAACGGCATATTTTTTTTAATTTTCTTTTTTTTAATTTTATTGAATGAAAGCAAAAAATGTCGGAAATAGCATCAAATTTTAGAATAAGTTTGGATTTGTTCGAATTGGTCACCTTTGGCACGAATTATGGCCTGCCCGAATGTTGCTCTGCGATATTTTTTCCCATTCCCGGCGAAGCGCTTGCTTGAGGTGATCGACACTTTCGTATTTTTTAGTGCCAACCAAAATACTCCAGACACAATAGTCCAATGGGTTGGTATCCGGAGATTTTGGTGGCCATAAAGCGAGGAACCTCATTTTGCAAGCATTCTTGGGTGGCGCGTGCTGAGTGCTTTTGTGCTGAGTTCTGTTGGAATGTCCAAGGTCTGCGGCCAAAATGTTTGCATGCCCAAGGCTTTAATGCTCCCCTTCCCCTCCGGAATATTTTCGCGATAATATTCGGCATTTATTCTGATGCCACGGTCGATTAATACGAGCGGAAAGCGACCATCGGCTGTTATGACGGCCCACACCATCACCGTGGCCGCCGCATGAGTTCTGGTGGCCCACCGAAGGTATATATTTTTAGCTGACCTCTTTGGCAAGTAAACACGATTATTTTTTTTTTTTTTACAAACTGCTGGACAACGAATATTTTGTCATCGGAAAAAACCAAATTCGGCAGTTCACCACTTTCGGCCAAGCGAAGTAACTCTTTAGCTCCTTTTAGTCTATTTTCTTTCCGTTGCGGTTTAAGTTCTTACACTTTTTGGAATTTCAATGGCTTTACCCTGAGCTCATTTTTTTAATATGTGCCGAAAGGAATATTGCGATATTTTCAGCTAACGAGCCATTTTTCGGCCACTGTGACGTGGGTTTCGATCAAGTCGCTTCTTTACTTTTCGAACCATTTCTGCTAATGTTGATGTTTTCTTCCGTCCACTTCCTCGACGTCGGACTACGTTACAGTATTGTACGAGACACAAAAGATTTATTCACATTTAAATACTGGAGTGCTCTAACGATACTTGTCATTTTCTAGCCAAATATAAGGAAATCACACTTTCACGCTTGAATTCCATCACGAATAATTTTTTTCTTGGAAAATTCTCACCAAGATGCTTTTGTATAATGAGCTGTCGCTGGAATAATTTTAACAGCTGATGGACGAGTGGCATCAGTCTGAAGTTGGTTGCAATTTTTGCATCTCACCCTGTATTTCAACATTTTCCAAAAATGTTCCCAAAAATTATCATATGAAGGAAGTATTCGATATGGTACAAATCTGACATGTAATTTTTATATCGAACTTAGATCAGATACGTAGTGGACAATATTGTCCCACTCCTTCCAAACCTCCCAGGGTCAAAGGGTCAACCGTTTGAATAATTATAACGCAAGCCTCAACTTGGTTTTTAAAGTATAATATTGTTAATATCTCTCAGACAAAAAATAAGATCAATAATAGACATAAATAAGTGACAAAACCGCTCAGTTAATTTTTAGACAATTACATGCCATGCCAAGCTTTCTTAGAACTCTTAGATTTCCCAAAACAACTAAAAAACATTTTTCTCTTGGGACGTCCCTCTCTATCTTTCGTTACAACGAAAATGTCTATGGATTCTTATCTCTTTTTTTATATTCCATCTTTTTGAAAAAATTTCCGAATATTTTCCGATCTCTGATCACAATAAAAAAAATCAAATGTATAAACATATGTGAGTAAATATTTAAAGGTTGGGAAGATGGAGAGAAAAACTTTGTGATAACATTTTCAGGCATGAATAATTATTTTTTGGGGAACATGGAGAAAACAAAACTTTTCTGTTGCTGTTTTAGCCAACTCTAGATGAAATGCATATTTCTTGGACATGGATATGTTTATGTTTTTAGTACCCCTGTACATCTCTTTGACCAATCCTTAGGATGGTAACTATTATTGGCTATCCTTACTTAGCTTGGGATTTATTTTCATAAATCCTTAATTGGAAAGTTTGTTTTTTCCGTTCTTTGTTTTTGGATGGGTACAACAACATTTTGCTGTTTCACTTTGTTTGGTGCTTGACTGAACTTTGATGTTTGGCAAAAGAGAACTTAGCTAGACACTTTATGCTTAAGTTGTTGCTTCTTTTTTTTTTGGTAGGGCTAAAATTTGTATAACACAAATAACAACAAGTGAAAACTGACCTTATTCCTAAATCCTTGCATATAACTAAACTATGTCTTCTATACACATTAGCATCATTCCACTTAATATACATGATTTTTAAGCCTCATCCTTTTTCGTTTTTTTTTTTCTCTTTTCCATTTTGCAGGCAACATCGGCACCCATCTTTCGCATTCAGGAACCTAATCCCCAGTTTCGTTTAAATAACTTGGAACCCGGTCGTGAATATCAATTTCATGTCTATGCTGTTAATGCCAAGGGCCGTAGTGATCCACCGGTGGTCATAGAACGGGTTCGTGTGGCTGCCCAACTGGGGCCATATGGTAAGTTATGTAAGTACAATTTTTATTTTATTTTTTTTGTTATTTACGTGTATTTGGTTGTCAAGTAAACTTGAACAAGGAGGGTAGATTTTTGGTGCAAATTGGTCGATGCATATACTTTATAAATCAAAGTTATTTAAGTAAAGAAAAGAAGATGTATGAAAAAATTATAATTTTTTTCCTGCAAAAAACAAGCAAATTTAAATGATTGTTAGAAATAACATTGTGCAAAAAAAAAAACACAAAAATCCCACAGATTATAAAAATAGCGTTACATATAGAAAACACCTGCATCGGCATTTTTAAAGTATTTGGACGTTTTTTTTTACAACATTGATGCAATTCGTAAGTAATTAGGTATAATGGTAATAAAGACTTCTTTTCTTTGGAGACTTATGGTGCAATTTGATAAAGGATTTACTTTTCTCTGATGTTATCCTTTTAAAATTATGTTTGTAGAAGAATTTAAAGTACTGCATTAACACTATCATGTGTTTTTAATTTTTATGAATTCCTAGCGTTTAGGTAAGGTTTAGACTTTTACGATTTTTACGATAAATAATTCTACGAAATAAAATGACTTCCTATGACCTGGTAAGAAGTTTTTAACCATATTTTGAAAAAATTACCAAAAATACCATTTTGTTATTAGCTTGTGGGTTAAGATTATTGAATAAATTAATAGGGGTATTGTGATATTGCCGAACATACTTTATACACTTAAAATCCATATTATCCTCAGAGTTTTTTTTCTAATTATTGAAGAAATTGAATTTTGTCGCTCAAGGCAATTTGTAAACGGGTCCAACAGATATCAAAAAAAAAAAAAAATACAAAAAAACTTTTTCTCTTTGTTTAAAAAATTAATTTATACAGCAGTAAAGTAATATTGGTTCAAGGCCAGGTTTCAAGCTGGTTCCATTGGTACCAAAAATGGTACCTGTTCATAAAATGCTTAATAACTCCAAATATTTTGTACTCAACTAGTAGATCGGGCTCAATTTCGGCAATCCGATATTTGTTTACCCTACATCTTGTGAAAACTTTTATTATTGCCAGATTGGTTGGCCCCACAGTTCTAAGTAATTAAGTATACTGCTTTATGGTAGTGGCCAAAACATTGTTTCCCGGTTACGAACCTAAGTTGTCAATAGCTTGTTGTCAAAATTCTGGATTAATATTAAATGATTATACTTTCAGCCATATGGCTAGAGAGGGTATATATAATTTGATACGGTCAAAACGTGCCTAGTCGAAATAAAGGTTTTAGACTCTAGGGAGAGAAACGATGATCCGATTTTGCTCCAACTTTGCAAATTCAAATATTTGCGTCAGTATTACGACAGGTGCGAAAGTGGACAATATCGATCCACTCTATCAAGAATCTCCCCCCCAAAGGGTCCAACATTTTGAATAATTACAAATCTTATAAAATGTGATCTAAGAATCCAATTGTCTTCATATTTCATACATCACAATTCTTTTATTAAGCCAAGTTCCTTCCTCCTTCTGGTACATCCCCCATAAATGATCGAAACTTTGAAAAAAAATCTGCACAGAAAGTGAAAAGATAATCCGATTTTGTCCAACTTTGCAAATCCTAATATTTGCGCCAGTGCTAGGCTAATTGCGAAAATGGACAATATCGGTCCCCTCTATCAAGTACCTCCCCCACAAGAGGTGAAAATTTTGAACATAACAAATCTTACACATCTCAATAATTTTATTAACTCAACCCCTTCTGGTACCTCCCCCACAAAAGATCGGAATTTTGAATATCCATTAAGCTCATAAAACCTGAACTTAACATCCGATTCTATTTAGAATTGACACATCTGAATATTTCAATCAACACAAGATCTGTTATAAAAACGGTAGCAATCGAACCATTCCTTCTGGTACCTCCCCTACAAAGGGTTGAAATTTTAAATATCCATGAAGGTCATAAAACGCGAAATAAGCATCAGGTTCTCTTTATATTTCATACAACCCATTATTTCTACTACCACAAGATATCTTGTGCAGATGGGATGCATCGGTCCACTCTTTCTGGTACATCCCACACAAAGATTAAAAATTTTGAATATCCATGAAGCTCATAAAAACGAAGTTAACATCCGATTCCATTCCAGACTTGGTCAATATTTCCATCAACACAAGATCTGTTATAAATATGGTAGAGATCGGATAATTTCTTTGGCTCCCTGTCCCACATAGGGTTCCAGATTTTGAAAAACAAAACTCTCAAAGAAAGCGAAATAAGCATCCAACTCTCCTCAAAATTCACATATACAAACATTTTCGCTAGTACAAGATCTGTTGTAAAGATCTACGAACCCCTTCTGAAGGAAGTTACCAATCAGTTACCAAGTTACCCCATATTTATATCGTATTTATTAAGGTCCGATACGAAATATATAATATTGACTTGACAATATTCCCCCAGAACCCACTCCATAGAGGGCCAATAGTTTGAAAAATGATAACAGAAGTCAATATATATTTAAATAATCGAACAATGGCTGAGGCTATTCGTCTGTCGGCAGAACCGATTGATGCTTTTTAACTTATTTTGAAAATAAATAATTTTATATTGGGTCCGTCAAAATAACGTTTTTTTGGAAAATCTGGTATAAGTTCAGTTGTGTGACATATAGCGCCCTCCCGTTGAAACCAAGTGTTGCAAATATCCTCCTCTTTAATTTTTGTGAACAAATTTTCGTTCAAAATGGCCCAATAACGAAAGTGCCCCTCCTTGTTCTTTTTGGAAGAATAATTGCCCAATTATGCCTCTAAATCAAAATCTGCTCCAAATAGTGACTAGTTTTGGGTGCACCGGTTTTTATACCCTACACCACAAGGTGGTCAGGGTATTATGTCTTTGTGCATTTGTTTGTAACAGGCAAAAGGAAACGAGATAGGCCCATAGTTCCTTTTGATGATCTGCACAGAATCACTTTGAGTTGATTGACTGAGTTGATTTATGCATGTCAGTCCGTCTGTCCGTCTGTCCGTCCGCCCGTCCATGTATTCTTGTGAACAAAATGCAGGTCGCATTTATTATCCGATTGATTGTGCACAAAACGTCTAATATTTACCCAAATCGGAATTGAGTCTAGAAGCTAGTATGTCAAACTTGGTGAAGATCGGTTCAGATATAAATATAGCTCCCATATATATTGTTCATCCGATTTGTTATATTTGTTACCCACAGCCGTAATATGCACTCCGTAACAACGATATTCAGGGAAATATATCAAATACAGCTCAGAAATATCTTTGCCAAATTTTATCGAGATCGGTTCCGATTTGGATATAGCTCCCATATATATATCTTTATCCGATTTCGAATTAATTGTGCACCAAATGGGCAATACAAGTCTGAATTTAAAAGATACAAATGCTTCGGCATATTTAGTCCTTTAAACTTTAAATTATTATTATAATCTTAGCGTGTATGATTGAATTCTCCCACAAAAAACTTTTAATTGTTATGCGCAGCTCTACTAAATTAGCAAAGTGGTGTAGGGTATCATAAAGTCGGCTCCGCCCGACTTTAAGACTTTCTTAACCTTGTTGTAACACTCACATCAACGGTACTCATTACTATTACTATTATTCGCTTTATGCAGTTTCTAAGTTTTTGCTGGGTACTTGATTGCATTCAAACGGCGAATGTGTCCTACCAGCTATTTCTGTATTAACCAAAATGTTTCAAACCTTAATTTAATTTTTAATTTTTGATTTCTTTCCATATTAACTTCCCTGATAAATAGTTTTAACTGCAACCAACAATTAAAAGCCAATTAAACAATTATGATTTAATAATAAAAATATATACAAACATTTAACCAAATGGCAAATTTTGATTATAAATTATTAATTTGATAAAAATTAAAATGGAAAATTTTAGTTGGCGTAACTAAAACTTAACGGAAGTATTCTACCGACATTCAACCTTTTTTCAAATAAAACAATTAAATTTCCACTAAATTTCCAGTGGGTGTGTGTGTGTGCGTTATATGATTTTTTAATTATAACGCTCTTAATGGAACACTTCTCCATCATCAGAACACACCAACAAAAACACGAAATCAAAATTTAGCTTTGTTCCATTTTAATGAAAAGCCTGTAACAAAACTAAAACATGGTGTAGTTGTTGTCATTGTACAAAATTCCATATTACAGAATTACTCAGATTTCGTGCTGGAGACCCCAAAAAAATCCATTTGAACTACATAAGCCGGTAATAGGATTCTATAGGTTTAAACACACAGACAGATGATGATGATGATGGTGTACGTGAGTGAGTGAGGGTGTGTGTGTGTTCATTTGTTATTAAAATCTTATTTTACTTCATTTCGTTTCATAATAACTAAACATACATAACAAACATATTTATTTACGTATATACATACTTACCTACCTGTATGTCTACAGTATATTAGGGTGTTAATAATTTTTTGTTTCAATTTTGCACGCACACAATTCATGATTTTACAAGTAAGCAAAGGCTATAGTCGTGCGGGGCCGACAATGTGATACCCTACAGCAGCGCAATATGTAAGAAGATTTCGATTTTGAAATTATATCATGGAGCACTGACCAGATATTACCCTTTTGCCCAATATTTACGCACTCCGTCGTGCTGTTAGTTGTTGTGGTCCATTTTACAGTCATGGTCATCCAAACTGCTAGACTTTTTTCCTGTCCCCATCTCTCTCCTCATGCAAAATTTCGTGTCGATTGGTTTCAATTGTGTGATCAGGAATTTTTTTCTGTTGCTTCATTTGAGACACTAAATATTTTGTAATCGTCTCCAGATGCAAGAGGTCCCTCTGTATCTCTAAATTTAGACTCATCTATATGACCTGCTTGTCAATCATATTTGGCTATATTCGTCAACGAAATCAGCATAAAAAAACCAGAAGTGCACCTTTTATGTATTTTATATTTCGCCTGTAAATTATTTTCAAAGTTTCGGTGGAATGGAAATGTTGGTATTTTTT